GGGTGCAATCAAGGTTGCACCCGTCCATACTTCAGACAGTGTTCCTCAACCCTGCATACTGTATAGACAACTCCTTAATCAACCTAGTAATTTTTCAGGTTACTCTAACAGTAGTAAGCGGGCACAGAAACTGATTCAGTTAATCAAATATAAAATAACACTACATAGTCTTCACTGTATAAATTAATACAGATGAATCCTTACAAGTTACAAAAGTTGTTCAATCAAGAGAAGCGAGTGATTTCCCCTTTCTGCTGTCACTATAAGACAGACTGCACAGATCCAATATTGTGTAGCGTCTGCATAAAATCATGGATGGTCTTTGAGGTTTATGGCTTAATAGACCCCTTTTAGCCTTTAACATCTGCATATAAATTACAGTCCTGGCCACAGACTCTACATTTATATGGGTGCTAAATTGTCAAATGGTTCCCCCCACTATCAAGCAGATGCTAAGAAGTCTACCACTATCATCTCCCCATCTGACTTCAAACAGTTTCAAAAGAGAAGTAAATGACCCCCGGTGCCAGGCGCCAATGGGCCTGGCTGACCAGCAAACTACAACATGTTCACATAACACACACACACACACACACACACACACACAAAGCCATTTTCTTTATTTAGACTATAATTGATCAGTTACAATTGTATCTGGTATATGCATGTGTTGTTTGTATGTTTCCCTATTAGATTAGCTGAGTTACCACTCGTTATTTGTATTAGTTAAGCCCTAAACGCTGATATTCAGGTGTATGAACGTATCTCTGGTTAAATGTTTCTTTCTTAGTATCAATATGATCTGCTCTTTATTCCTCAAACAATGATGTACAGAATGTGATTGTGAAATGCATCATATGATTTGTACTATGTTTTGGGTTAAAACTGCACCAATCCTCCAGACCGCCCATAAACATGCAAATGGCCCATAAAGGGAGACAATGAAAACTTCTCCCGCTCAAAAATTAATGCCTGGTATTGGCTATTCCACCCAAAAGGTGGGTGTGAATAGGAACTCTCAAAAGTCATTAGCTCGAAATGATCTTTGCTCAAAAAGCCTCTTCTTTTGAGACGACACTATCCAAGACTCCTCAAGACTCTCCTCTTGAGTCTGATTTTCCGGCAGTTTTTATCTTCAAGTAACTTCGATTCGCTGTGGACTTTCCTATCTTCAGAAGAAGACAAAGAAAACTTCCAGCTCACTTCTAAGAGAACTCATCAAGAACCGTTGTCTACCGCATCAGGAATCTTGTTCAGCAATCGAAGCCAATGCAAGTAACCGTTTACAACTATTTAGGTGATTTTTGATTCTTTGATGATTCTCATTAAGTTGTGGTTAATTGATGTGAAAAACTGCCATTTTTTTACTCTTCTATCTCTCTTCCTTACTTTTCTTCATTCTGTATATATGTGTTTTGCTAAGTCTTGTTGTATGTTAGCTGTAGTTTCATTTATTAAATCCCTTATATTCACAATTGATTGCCTCTGTGTGCTGCTCACAATTCGAAGTCACTGAATGTTGAAGTCTTGCTACATGCTAAATTACTGCTAGTGTAGCACCCTCACCGCCTGATAAGGGGAGATACAAATGTGTATAAAATGAACACAGGACACGGAGCTGCTTTCTCACTGCCAGCGTCTGTATTGTCTGAGCAACAATAAAGTGTTTTAACCAGTTTCTCCAATAACAAATCAATAAAAAAAAACTTAGCTATTCAGTATACATGGAATACATTCTTTTTAACAGTACTATGAGATGAATGAAGCTGTTTTTTTACAACATCAATTTAAATATATGAATTATGCAAGTATTTCAGAATTTAATACCCCTTTTAACATATTTTTAATATGTCTTTAAGATCTCACAGCATTTCACGTTCACAATTTCACCTTAATAAGGATATATTCACTTTAACGGAACATTTTTAACATGCACATTATGTAAACTCGATTTAATTAACTGTTATACATTTTCCCGTACACATTTTTAACTTAACTCACCAGGGATTTATATTTCAAATACAGGAATGTATTTAAACTGCTTAATACACTTTTAGAACACAAATTTACACTTAATTCTCAAAAAATATACATTACATTAATCTTTCCTGCAATAAATGCAGTAATTGTATGACCACGTTTTCTCCATTACTAGCATGTGATGACTAGCACAATTAGGATACACAGCGAACTTGGTATCAACTCTTACAAAACAATTTCTTCAACTATTCAAATACTGACAACTACTCAATAACTGACATACTCCATAATATTTTCACATTCACACCATGTGCATTACATACCTGATACAAATGTGTATAAAATGAACACAGGACATGGAGCTGCTTTCTCACTGCCAGCGTCTGTATTGTCTAAGCAGCGCGCCCCCTCCCCCAAACAGGTGAACGCTCCAAAGGGAAAAGCAATTGATCGATGATACGACGAATATTATTGCTTCCATAGAGCAAATGAGAAGAAAAGGAAGAAAGATTTTTTTTTTTTTTCACTTACATTTTAATAACCACCACACTAGCACTACATAAAGAAGGAAAGCTACTTTCCTTGGCCAGGAAAATAATCTTTCCTTGACTTGATCAATTATTATATTGTCTGCTCGGTGGACGAACAGATCAAATAATTGTAATATTGATTCTGCTACAGTTAATTCCACTGTAGGCCACTGCATCATTATACATCATTTTGTTGAAATTAGCAAACGTCATCTGATCTATATGTGATGGAGCCGGCCATCCTGTAGACTGAGCTGTCTTTACCGAGAGCGCCAACATTATTATGACTCTGTATATGAAACTTGACATACTTAGTTGAACCAGGATCCATCGCTGTAACACGGTGGGATTTTATACATTCCCCATAAAGTATTAGCATGTTTATGATTTAGAATATATGTAAAACTGACATCTTAAGACGTCTACCAGATGTTTGTAGACAGCAGATGCTTTGCAGATGAAGCAATCTTTAACAGACATCTTGCAGATGTACGTGTTCTATCTGGGATATGAATGTGAGTACATTAATCTGAATGAACACTTTAATCTGAATCTTCAGACAGAAGATTGGGCAAAGTGGGTTTGATTGTGTGCATTTTGTAGGTCATATGGTAAACAGAGGTTTTGACATAGTAAAGGCCATGTTGCAGAGTAACAGAGCCATGTTCTGAGTAACAACATGTCTTAAATATCAGACAAACCAACACATTTACATTTGACATATTTGTTACATATCATTTTCAGTTCATTGTCACGTCAGAGGAAAATAAGAAAATAGTGTATAAACCAATCCTAAAATTGTCATTAGGAAAATACAGAAAAACAATATTATAGAATACAAATGATTGGTTATCGTACAGCAGTGTATTTGATTTCTTAGCCAATTAAAAGACAATAAAAAATAAAGCCTGTCAATTAGACAAAAGTCAAGTTTTTTGTTTTTTTTACATTTCTGTCCCCCTCACTTCTGAAATGATGGCTATGCCCCTATGTGTGCAGGACAGAAAACAGAGCACACGCCTTCTTGTACTTGAACGGTTTAAAGTCATATTAAAATGTGCACAAAGGAATCGATAAGAGGAATCAAAATTTGTATTTTATTACAAGTAGACAATTCCTGACCTAAAGCATCCTATTCCAAAATTGGAATAGATTTTGGATTCCCAAGCCAAGGTATAGGTGAAAATGTTAAATAAAATGCTCTTTTTGTTTTGTCCTACCAAAAATGTACCTGGAGTCCACCTTTGTTATTATTACAAACTACACTTTCAATGTGATTTTAAACCATTCAAGTCAAGAAGACTCGCAGGCTGTTTTCTCTGCTGGACACACATCCTTGTGTAAGTGTTCTTTAGCCTGTTGACTTTCATTCATAGTATTCAGCTAACAACGAAATATTTTGCAATAAGATGATATCTAAGTTTTTTATTTTTTATTTATGTATTCATTTATTTATTACCTTATTGGAATTGAAATTAGGAATTGACAAGAATTGGAATCATTCAAATTCAAACGATGCCCAACCTTACCCACACCCCACATTATTTTTTACTGGCACCTTTCTATTCACACTGTTTTAAACCCTTTATTTTTTTTTAAACCTTCGCTTACCTTTCTTTGCTTTTGCCCTTCTTAAAAACAACCACATAATCTTATACGTGAATGTACTTTTCAAAATGAGTTATAAAACAGTTGCTCCTGGCAACAGGGATAGGTAGTATGTTTGCTTAACATAGCATCAAACATGACAATTTATGAGACTAATATCATGTTTTGCTCCAAAATCACTACATAACATCAGTCGTGTTTGAAACAGTTGGCTTCTGTGGTTCTATGTTGCTTCTTATCACAGTGAGACAGAAAAAAAATATATATTTTAAATAAAATTCTATACTGTGACATAAGGTATGTCAATTAACATTGCATTGCAATTTGCAGATTATTTGATGATTAGATGCATTTGTCCATATAAGGGATTTCCTGGGTCTCACTTGTGAAACAGACATGTGGACAGTACATGGGTGTTAGGGTCAGGGTTAACCCTGCTCTATAATGCTCACATCGTCTCATTTTGGGTAAAAAGAGAAAAATAATACTAAAGTACTTTGTAACGCAGTGACTTGAGTAGTTTTTCTGCAAACTACTTTTTTACTCGTACTCAAGTAAATTATTCCTTAAGTAGCAATACTTTTACTTAAGTGCAATTTCTTAGTACTCTTTCCACCACTACACCTAGGATGGCTTGAGGGTGAGTAAATCATGGGGTACTTTTCATTTTTGGGTGAACAATCCCTTTAAGAGCTCATTATGTCATTAAAATAAAGAGCTAAAAGACACTTCTGTTTTAATGCACAAAGATAATTCAGTTTTAATGCACAATCAGCAGATTCCCTCAGAAATTACTAAATAAATCAAACATGAAAGTAAACCAGAAAAACAAAAAAGTATGAGATCAGTGAATATAAGTAAATGCAAACATTCACATGTCCTTCACCTTATATTTATGCAGATGAAATTGAGTTTGTGAGTTTCAGGAAGGCTGATCCAGCGCTGATCTCCTCCAGACTGAACTGCTCCTTTTCTCTTCTCGAGTTTACAGTTTTCCGGTTTTGTTCCGTTCCCTGGGGCCCAGTTCTGATAGCACACAGTCTCTCCACTCAACCATATATATATATATAAAGAGAGAGAGAGAGAGAGAGAGATTGTATTAAGGTCTTTAATTTCAAGATCCCATTGTGAGAAAATACCACATAGTGTCACAACAAAAGATCAAAGTGTGCTCAGTGTTCAGTCTTTGCTTATGGGAAATATTGTGGATATAGAAACTGTTTCAACACTGAAAGTGTGACACATATCCACAGTCTCTTCTATATTCACAATTAAATTAAATAGTGTTTAGTATTGCATTAAAACCTGGTATATTGTGCATCTATAAATGAACTCACTGTTGTTGCAGATGAAATGCCGGTTATCACTACATGGCAAATCATGCCATTGTCCATTTCTCATCATAGCACAATAATCTCTGCCTTCTGTTTGTTCAGTAGACCAGTTCAGATAGAGCGCAGGTTCACCTGAAGACCACTGCCATTCATCACGACCCGTCTTCTGCAGCCCAATCCAGATATACTGAAAACCTCCACCATTCACACTCTTCTTCAGCTCGTTCATGTCGTTCATGTTGTCAACGGTGGCCAGATCTGTGTAATTCTCTCTGCAGTATCTCTGAGCTTCAGTCCAGTTCTTCCTCTCATTTATAAAGTGATACTGACGCTGAACACATTCAGATACGGAGCAGAGAGCTGTGAAAGAGAGGTTTTGCTTTAATGCTTTTCATAACAGACCTAATGGAACTAGAAACCATGAATAAAACCACAAACACTCACCAATGAGAAGAAGAAAGAAATATAGAGCTTGCTCCATTTCTGAGGAAGAATATGAAAGTAAAACATGATTACATTTTTTAAAAAGCAGAACAGTTCACATACATTCAGATAATGTTAAGACGTCTAAAGTCTAATTCTAGTTAAAGAATGAAGATGAGTTATTCTTACTTTAGAGGTCGTGTGTTTCTGTCCTGAGTCTGATGTTTCTGTCTGCAGCTTCAAACTATATGATTATTATATCTGCTCTCATCCGTCACTCAGCACGTCACTTCATTTGTTTATTACTCTAAAACAAAAAGCCCTTTTTCATTTTTCTTCCTTGTTCACATGTGTCCACATTTTTCTCTGTCAGTAATTTCTTTCTGCTGTAATTTGTTGAAAGTGTGTTTATATGAAAATGTTCTGTACTGTCGAGTATTATATTTCCACAGCGGTCTCACTGGAAAAATCCACCTTAGTATTTGCATTTTCTTCTCTTATAATTAGTTTTCCATGTTCTTTTCCATGTTCAAAAAATATAATGCTCTTTTCATACTAAGACTCATGATTACATTGATTTATGCATTTTTATAGTGCAACTACAGCACTAAAGCTGCATACTATAAAAAGGTGCAAAAATGCCTTTAAACATTCATTTCAATAGCAGGGAATCATGTGGTTCCAAGTCTGTATGATTTAATTTCTTGCACAGAACAAAAAATTTGATATTTTGCTAAATGTTTTGATCCCATTAACTTCACAGAATGTCTTGTCCATACTGTTTTTTTGTGCGTTCAGCCAATCAGTGGTGAAGTGATGTGAAATGATACAAGAAACCAGGAGTTTGTTTAATCATAATCATACTTTATCTCAACAATACAGAGTGAAACATGCATAACTGACATTACAAAGATATATAGTGTGGAGCCTTACACTTCATTTGTGTATTTCCTCTTAAAAAAAATACCCTTTTTACATGTTACTTCCTCCATATTTGTGTGTTTATCCACTCTTCCTGTTGACTCTTACTGCAGTGCTTATAATCAGGCCTCAAAGTAGGAAATAAGATGGGCTGATATTCCCCTCATTTGCTTTTTGACGTCAGTGAGTATCAGTAAAACATATTGTATTAAATTTACACTTTCTCAAGCACATATAATATATTAGCACACACAGCTAATGTTCTTATGGTCAAATTTCTTCAATAAAAATGAATCTGGAAGTATCAGTTGAAGGGATGTGATGTTCATTGTGAAGCTGGGGTGGGCCGTTTACATCCGATTCTATCTTTTTTACGCGCAATAAGCTGCAAAAAAGAATTAAATTCAGTATCAGTGTGCTGTTTGTGAGGCGGCTGTATTTGTATGCTCTCAGAAAGACGTGCCACTACTTAATTGAGTTATTTTGCTTGAGTGGTTTAAAATCTCATGAATGTTTAAATTAGCAAGACTTAAAATAACATAAATTGCAACTCCCGGGCGTCTTTCATTCCTTTGCTGGAATTTCCCACAGAATAGCCCATTTCGCACCGGAGCAACCTTTTCATAGTTCCTAGAGCTATTGGCGGAAGTACCCAGATGCTTGCGCGTTCGCAGTGCAGGAACGAACTTAAATTTTAGTTCTAGGAATTCCTTTTACGGGAACTAAACCCGGGTCTAAACCCACACTGTAAGTGTATGTTGATTGGCGGAACGCATGTGGGAAAATGCCGGCTACTACCCGAACGGCTAGTTCCTATAACTTATGGCTCATTTCCACCGAGCGGTATGGGTCAGTGCAGTACGTCACGGTACGATTTGGGACCGAACACCCTGATCCAGCTTGCGTTTCCACCACCAACAGTACCCTTATTTGATGGGCATGGTGAATGCCGGAAAGTAGCGATCGACGATAAAGCGAGACAATAAGCACAACTCTGCCTCTTTTTGTTAAATGTCAGTTTTAATTAACAATAATAGGCATTATAAAAGTATAAGTACAAAGTATAATAGGCTTATATAAGAGGATATAAAGACAAAAGCAAACAATTCAGTCAAACTTATGCTACAAAGTAAGCGCTGTACTACAGTCAAGTTCAAAATAAATATATAAAGTTAAACATAACTTTGTGCTCAGCCAAAATTATATGACCAGGAACAAATAATAGATTCATGAGACCACGAATGCCTGTTAAATATACCCAAAACGAAATGTATATCATGTTTAATCACTACAGAGACATCAGAGCCAGTGGCAAATGTCGGAAGGACTTGCCTATGGGGTTACATCTCTGCCACAATTCTGCGTGCAAAAGATCATATTCTGAGAGCGCACGAAAATCAATTTTGCATTTAAAATACGTTTTTGGATTTGTGCCGACCTTCTCTTTTGCACGTGCAACGTTTCACTAGCTTGCTCACCTAGTCAAACTTATGCTACAAAGTAAGCGCTGTACTACAGTCAAGTTCAAAATAAATATATAAAGTTAAACATAACTTTGTGCTCAGCCAAAATTATATGACCAGGAACAAATAATAGATTCATGAGACCACGAATGCCTGTTAAATATACCCAAAACGAAATGTATATCATGTTTAATCACTACAGAGACATCAGAGCCAGTGGCAAATGTCGGAAGGACTTGCCTATGGGGTTACATCTCTGCCACAATTCATATCATATTCTGAGAGCGCACGAAAATCAATTTTGCATTTAAAATACGTTTTTGGATTTGTGCCGACCTTCTCTTTTGCACGTGCAACGTTTCACTAGCTTGCTCACCTGATGCCTGCCCTCAGTGCTCTCTAAATGCCAACGGCTCGCTTGCTCAACACAACCCAGCGTTACAATATGCCATAATTCCAGCCAATCAGAGACGAGGTTGCTAAATTCTGATTGGCTGCCTTGACAACCAATCACAACATTCCTTGCATTACCTCAACAGCAGAAGAGGAAAAATACAGTGCATGCATAATTATTATGCAAGTTGATATTCTGATCATATTTTTTTCCAAGCACATTTTACCAATTCCAAACGACATCAATCTTAATAACTACTATTAATCTTGTATTTAATCATTTATAATTGATATATAATTATTCATGAAGGCTAGAAGGGAAAAATGTATTATATTCAGGTGTGCATAATTATTTAGCAGATTTTCTTTTAGATAAAATTAGCCAAAAAAAGAGATTTAACTCATGCTGAAAGTCAAAAATTATTAAATGCCCATGAGAAATATTCAAACTAATACAATACTAGAAATTGCAAAGTTAATGCATAACCACTGGACAGCAAAATGCTCAGTGGGTCAGCAGGGTCAGTCAAAAACATGTGGAGAAGAAAAGATGCATGTTAACTGCAAAAGAATTCGGAATTAAGGTGAAGAATTATGTGTGAAAACACAAGGAAACACAAGCGCCACCATTTTGCAGAACTGCAACCTACCTGGAGTCTCCAGAAGTACAAGGTGTCAGGTTCTCAGAGACTTAGGTGAAGTATAGAATCTTTAAAAAAATGACCCCTACTTAATACTTAATACTTAAAAACTGATTTATATATTTATATATATATATATATATATATATATATATATATATATATAGTTTTTTAAGACAGATATAGTGAGAGAGACTCTT